TAAAAATAGAAGTTTATCAGTCGCCATCATCTCAAAAACATTCTTGAGGTGATGGAATATGTTGAATTCTAATGGACAACTGTCCTGTGTGCATTGATTTTGCGCATACTAGCACATTCAATCATTAGTTTGTGCTTTTCACAAAATTGGGGTTATTTGCTCCAAAGATAAGAAATGCTTGCCAGGGGACTATTTCTAGAAGGTCACAGTGATTTAGTGTATTTTCAATGTTATATACCATTTGTCCATTTATTGTACAGAATTTATAAACCTGGCAAAGTGTTGTTTTCATGTAAATTTCCATGCATACTCAGAAGTATTTTTGAACCCATTTTTTTTTTTTTTTTTTTTTTTTTGCTTTGTTTTGTTTTGTTTTGTTTTTTTTGGAAATAGGATGAATTATATGTAATCAGTAAAATTGAGCATCCAAAATATTTCAAACTGTTATTTGAAGATATAAAGGTTTACTTTCTTGGCTGTCTTGGGCAATACCATACTTACAATGTATTTCATAATGGCAAATTTAACCTCTCTGTTGTAATATTAACTGTAAAATACCGATATCTATTAGGTATGAAAGGTATTATTGAGTTGGCTTTGTTGTTGTTGTCCCCCGCTTTCGCGAATCCAAGAGGACATTAAATCTCATTTGTCTGTCTGTCAGTCTGTCTATCTGTTAGTCTGTCAGTCTGTCCATGTGTCTAGCTGTCTAGCTGTCCATGTCAGTCTGTCTGTCACAAAAACTTCAATTTGGTTACAACTTTTGAATGAGAAGAGATAAGGCTTTCATATTTTATATGTTTATTACCTGTGACAAGACCTTTCCAAATTTACTAAGATTTTTGACACCTTGACCTTGAAGTTTAACCTACTTTTCAAAAATTTTAACATTACTTTAAATTGGCCATGGCTTTTGAATGAGAAAAGATAGGGATTTCATATTACATATTTATTTAACCTGTGACAAGACCTTTCCAAAAATACTATTTCTGACCCTGTGACCTTGACCTTGAATTTTGACCTACCTTTCAAAAATCTTATCTGTCCTTATACATGTAACTTTGGATTGAGAAGAGATATGGCTTTCATATTTGACATGTGTATTACCTGTGACAAGACCTTTCCAAACGTACTATGGTTTTTACCCCTTGACCCCATGACCTTGGAGTTTGACCTACTTTTCGAAATTTTTATCTTTGCTTATAACTTTTGATTGAGAATAGATAGGGCTTTCATATTTGACATGTGCAATACTAGTGAGAAGATGTTTCTGAGCATGCTATGATTTTTGACCCCCTGACCTTGAACTTCAAGTTTGACCTATTTTTCAAACATTTCATCAGTGTTGCTAACTTTTGAAGGAGCAAAGATAAGGCAATCCTATTTGAAACATGCATTACCTGTGACAATCATTTCCAAATGAACTTTGATTTTTAATACCATGACCTTGAAGTTTGACCTACTTTTCAAAAACTTAATATTGCTTATAATGTTTGATTGAGAGAAGATTTGGCATTTACAATTGACATGTGCATTACCTGTTTCAAGACCATTCTGATTGTATACTCTGGCTTTTGATATATTTTTCACATGTGCATTACTTGTGACAAGAACTTTAGGATTTTATTATGATATTTGACCTCATGACCTTGATCTTGAAGTTTGATGTAGTTTTGAGAAGCTATAATCTTTGCCATAACTGTTATTAATTCAGTAATTTATATCTTTTTTGTATAATGCACAGACAAGACAGGACACACAAACAAGACAGTTACAATATGCCATAAATAATGGCATCCCATCCACTAAGACACCGAAAGCGGGGGACCACAATTCTTTGAATTTGCTTGTTGTTGTTTGCTTTTAGCATTAAAACATGCTTTGATTTGCTATATTTGATTTGTTATATTTTGGGAGCTAGGTTTTCAGTGACCAACCTTTATCAAATCTATACAAGAAAATATAGATTAATTCTGATATAATATTCATATATGTATACCAAGCCAGGCATCACTAACAACAACTTTTAAAAAAAAAGAAAAGAATCGACACCATTTTCAAATAAAATATTCATTTTGTAATTGAATAATTTAAATGTTCATGATGGGAAATAAAGGTTGATTAATTCTTCAAAATCAAATGTGACATGTTGTTGTTACATACATGTAACCATACTTAGGCATACTACATGTATATGAATGCTTTTAAAGATTATATTAAACTATAACAGACATTTTTCATACTGTATCATATATCATTTCACCATTAACTTGACAAAATCTTATTTTGAAAAAGGAACACATGGGTCATGATGACCTGCTGCAACGTATATAGTTCTGTTACAAACTTCCACACTATATTTTATACAATGTATAAATTAACTTCCAGGGGAACAATTAAGATGTATTTTTGAATTCTTTTTACGTTATGCAGTTACTTTCATGTATTGTGTGTCTGAAATGGTCTGTTGTTTTTGATTATTTTGAAAATGAAAAGATTCAAGATACATGTATATAGACAGATGAAAAAATTGATAGGAAAAGCTTACTTCAGTTTTTAACTCATCTGATTAACCAATGTTTGGGCTACCATTTATGAAAGTGCCTACTTCCAGACAGAAAGAAATTTAAAGAAAACTGACATCAAAGAAAGCTTACTCAAGTTTCTTGCTCATCTGAGTTAACAAGTGTCAAGGGAACTTATGTCTCAACTAAAGATGGATTTTATGAAAGTGTGACTATTTCCAGACAGAAGTACGAACAGACAGACAAAGTATCTGCCATGTTCCCAGGGATTGAAATTAACTTTTTTGACCACTAGCAAATTTTAGCTAGTGGAATTATTTTTTACTAGCAATATTGAACTTTCACTAGCATTTTTTTCATCTCATAGTAATTAACATAGGAATTATTTCAATGATTTCACAGAAAACTAATTTACACCATGTGAGTATAAAGGTCATTTTATACAAGGTGAAATCTGACCGGATACAGGGGTGTGGAATTAAAAAAATCAAGCACTAGCCCACAGACTAGTAGCCCCAAGTAAAAAGTTACTAGCTCAAACATAGGGGGGGAAAGTAGCTAACAATGAAAGAAAAATAGTTTATTGTTGAAAAAGTCAGGGTCTTAAGGTCATTCTTTTTTTAAATTGAAAGTTTAATTTTCAATAGAAAAATTGAATCGTATATAAATCAATTATGATTGAAAATAAAAAAAAAAGATAATTGAAAAATAAATTATCTTTCATATTTTTTTTTCATCTTAAATCATTAAATACTCTTGAAATATATTTTTTGCAAATCACATAAGACTTTTTCTCTAGTTAATTAAGGGATCGCAAATGGGATATCTACATGCATTTACCATAAACAAAGGAATGGAGGAAATTCGGATTAGGAAAAAACGATCGTTTTTGGAAGTAAATAAGTCAGGTAGTACTGCAAAATGGATAAGATTATCATGTTGTAAATTTTGAATTTACTAGGGGGAGGTAAATGCAAAAGGATGACTGCACTTAACGCCGGTTTTTGGGTCTTTTTCGGTTGCTTCTGTTGCTTTTATATTTAAACCTTATTTTACTTTTGTATATTTATTAAAGAATCCAGTCAATTTGGAACCAAATTTAAATCTTAAAATGATTTTAGACTGTGATACAATAAAATGAGTCAAAGTTTTTTGTCCTTAGTGCTTTCCAAATATAGAGAATTTACACTTACCTGCCCTTGATTGAACAGAAGAAATGCATGAGAGGTGGAGCGAACATTGTAAGAATGGGTCTAAAATTAGACTAGATAAATAACAATGACATGTTTGAAATAAGGAACGTGATCACTCTTTCCCATCTCCCTCTCCATTCTATATGGCACAAATACACTACTGACAAAGGTTTCAAAACGAAATTAACAATATGAGCACGTCCATGTAATTAAAGCAGATTTTATATCAATGCCAGATGACTTAACGTGTTTGAAAACAAGTCCCAGTTAGCACAAAACATGCTACCTTACAAGTCACGTGACGGAGTTTAGTATTCACAAAGTTACCTGAGGTAAGAAATCACGTGGTGAATTATAATATTCAACATGTCACAACCCTTGGTTACAACACAGAGAGCGAATGTAAGAAGAAGCAGTTTTTTCTCTTTTTAACCATGAGCGCATATTTGTCTATTAATCTCCTTTTGACACATTATTATTTATGCAAATATACAACTACTGTTAAACGTAGAACAATAGACAAACATGCGCTGACTATGTATGAAGTCAGTAAAAAAAGTGGGCGTCCTCATTATCGAACGGAGATTCAAGAAATTGTGATGACCCCTGCCTTTGATAACACATTCGAACTTCATAAATACACACTTTTATTAAACGTAATTACATAAAGTTGTACATTGGATATTGACCATTCTTGCAATGAAAAGAAAAATGCTTGTTTTGAAAGTTTATTATGTCGCAAGTTTCGCATGTCCTTAAGTGCAGTCATCCTTTACAACATGATAACTCAAAATTTACAACATGATAAGATTATGGAGATTTACGAACTATAAGAGCATGCTATCTGGAAAGTTTTCATTGTTTGAGAATTTTGAGAGGAAAAAAGTTAATAAAAATACCTGTAGTGCTTTTCATGTATTACATGGGTAATTTTAATTTTTACTAGATCGAGGGGCTACCTCTGTGCATAAAATCACTAGCCCGACCCCCAAAAATGGTAGCCCCGGGTGTGAGGCAATGTTAATTGCACATACCTGGAATAAACTAAAAAAAAATCCGAAAAAGACTATTTTTTTTTCTCGCAAAAGTTGGCGACCACAGGTCGCTTTTAACTTGTTATTTCTGTTTTTAATTCGCATTTAGCGAGTATTTCCCATTAATTTCGACCCCTGGTTCCAACAAGAAAGTAGAAGGAATATAAGGACATGGATCTAGACAAAATATACTTCATGACTAAGGAACTTACACTTTATATTGCAAATTTAATTTATCTTAATCTTACCATCATAGTACTGATGAGCATCATCATAAACCTAGAAATAATTAATGAAAACAACTTTACATTCATCAATGACTAGCCATTGTAAATTTACTTATCTTCAACATTTTACAAACTACATAATGTTCCAGTTAATATGGTATCTTTTATAACAATATACCTGTTAAACTGATAAACTTACCATTCCAATAGAGGAGCCTGGTAGGACATCATGAAACTGATTGAGAAGGAGGAGCTTCCACAGCCTTAGGAGTTCATTTGTTGGGGATTTGAATGAGCCTTTGTGTTGCATGGACAGAATGTTAGCAACAGATGATAGAAATTCTACATCATGGAGACGAAACTCACAAAAACGATTCATCTTCTTTACCTGCAAAATTAGTAATAGAGTAAAAAGCATGGTTCTGCATCTTCTTGATTCTTTGACATATGAATCAAATTACTGAAAAAGGTCATAAGAATAGAATATTTCAACTGTTTTGGTGTCAGTTCTAGAGAAAGGCAGACTTATAATGAACAGTTTGTTCATTGTTTGTCCATCAGGCTTTGATGAGTCAAACTATCATTGCAGGTGACACATGTGTTTTTAAACACTTCTGTTCATAAATTCACAACTCCTCCTAAATAAGCTCTAATATTACAGTTTGATCAATGACAAATGTGAGAATTAACTGACTTTGGCATGTGTTGTGTAGGTTCCATTATGCAACTCTAGATAAAGTTCTCCTCTCCAACGACACAAATTCCCAAGATCCTCTCTTTCTACATCAGAGAAATATTCCTGTGGTGTTTTCTGTTGTATTTTAGGGAGGCCATCTGTATCTTTCAGTCTCTGCATCCTTAGCAGCATGTCCTCTCTGAAGAATTGTTTTTATTATACAGTAAATATTGATAAAGTTAACCACTGGGGACAATCAAATTCCCTTTTTTATCTGTAATTTGTTAAATCCAGTTAATACTTCCTTAATTAGTTGGAACTTCTCGGAGACAAAGTTAGCATATGCTTGCTTTTTTGTGCAATTGTTATCAGCATGCTTTAAAAAATGTGAGCAGAATATCTTTGAAAAACACACAATATTTTCAATATTCCATCCATTTCCATGCCTATATTGCAAACAAAAATTCAATTTCTTATAAATTTCCTAACAGGGAGTCATGTTTTGACATGAACCTCACTAATGTTGTTAGACATGGTAACATATTCTGATAACTTACGATGGTCCATTTCCTCCATCTCCATAACCAAACAAGTACACACTTTTGCCTGAGCGACCTTTGTCTTTGAAATTCTTAATTGTTCTCAGAACCTGTAATATAAATTTGTATAACTATCATTTTGTATCCTTTTAAAAATATAGTCTTATTTTAAAACATTGGAGTTTTGTTTTCGTTTTTATTGTTAGAGACCATGTTCAGTAACAAGATTTGTCAAATGGCTTTGTCAAGAAAATTTGTTTAATATCATAAATCAGTAACAAATACAATCACATGGCCTATTTGTACTAAAGAGATCGATAACAATGAGGAAAACTTTTACAAAGAATTCTTAAAAAAATTCTCTCTATTAAATAAATATGTCAGTGTTACTGAAATGGAAAATTTCTTTGATATCTAGAAGTAATATCAAGGCAGACTTTACAGTAATATCAAGGCAGACTTTACGGTAATATCAAGGCAGACTTTACAGTAATATCAAGGCAGACTTTACAGTAATATCAAGGCAGACTTTACAGTACTATCAAGGCAGCACTTTACAGTAAAATCAAGGCAGCACTTTACAGTAATATCAAGGGAGACTTTAAAGTAATATCAAGGCAGCACTTTACAGTAACATCAAGGCAGACTTTACAGTACTATCAAGGCAGCACTTTACAGTAAAATCAAGGCAGCACTTTACAGTAATATCAAGGGAGACTTTAAAGTAATATCAAGGCAGCACTTTACAGTAATATCAAGGCAGACTTTACAGTAATATCAAGGCAGACTTTACAGTAATATCAAGGCAGCACTTTACAGTAATATCAAGGCAGCACTTTACAGTAATATCAAGGCAGCACTTTACAGTAATATCAAGGCAGCACTTTACAGCAATATCAAGGCAGACTTTACAGTAATATCAAAGCAGCACTTTACAGTAATATCAAGGCAGCACTTGATGAAAATGACAAATCAATATCTGTCTTTTCATTTTTATATTTTATCTAATACTCTTATATATTGTCATTGATGAATGCCTATTAGCTATCATGATAATTCAGCATATCTCATAACCCCTTGAAATAAAGATTATTTACTTCTGATGTTTTGTCTCCTTACCATTACTTAAAAACTGATTATTAATAAGATATTATGATGTAAAGCTAGTAACAAATTCACCTCCTCTACTTTGCCTTTCATTTCATAGGAATCCCCTGGAGGAAAATGAGTCAGAACTTGGGATCCATTTATCCCCTCCCACCAAAATGTATGGTGCTGAAAGTTTAAAAAAGACATGCATATAAAGAAATTTATTTCATTTTGTATCTCAAAGTCACTCAAGCATTTATAAAGACACCTTACTTCAATACATGTACTTATGTCCTTTACATTCTACACACTGACTTACAGGGAACTTATTGACCAGACTCCAGCTGATTTTCTGGGTCAGGAACCTAGAAATTCCAAACATCTTCATGATCTGGGGCAGCTGAGGGGAGTAGCCAAATGTGTCGGGTAACCAAAACTGGAGAAAATATATTCAAATGTACATTGTAATTCAGTTTATAATTAGAAGGACGATAAATGAATGTAAAAAATAAATAACATATGTAAAATACATATATCTTCAGAGAAAAAGATTAATGGAAATTCATGTGTGTTATTATTTCTAAGTAGATAGACAAATACATGTTGTATATACAGTTAAACTTTGGTATCTCAAACACCAATAACACTGTATCTCAAATACCATGGATATATATCAGAGTAAGTTGGAAGCCCAATTCGCTTTTTTTTAACCTTGATATATCAAATCCTGAGATATCTCAAAGTTTTTTCTCAGCCCTATGAAGTTCAAGATAATGAGATCTGACTGTATCTTATATTAAAAAATATACCGTGGTTACTTTGTATCAATCATTTAACCATACAGTGCAATTGATTGATTTATATGCATGCATGTGATACACAAGCCTATAAATCTTTTATTGTGTCAGTTTAAAGATTCAAATCTTCACCTACATGCATCACTGCATGGTGATTTAATACCCACACGTATGTAAATAAATGTACATGTACATATTATTATATATTATATATATTATCATATTATTATACCCCCACTTTTCAAGAAGGAGGTATATAGTGATAGGTGTGTCCATCTGTATGTCAATTACATTTGGGGGTAGTCATCAATTAATGCAATGCTTTGGGGTTTACCACAGCAAAACATGGAAACTGCCATTCTTTCTATTTTATCAGGGGTACCCATCTCTTATTCGCAAAACCTCCTATAGCACTGAATAAAATTTAATGAGACTTTCAAAGAATCTTTATTTAATTATCACAGTGCATGAGTGAAATACTAGTACAAATAAATCAAACCACTGAAAATAACATTTGTAGGTTTAAAGTTGGATGATATCATTACCTCTGCACATTTTTTGTTGAATTCCTGCATGAAGTATCTCTGTCCATACAGAAACTGACGAACAAAGGCTTCACCACTTGGCAAGTTCCCATCCTGCAAGGAACATTATTGTTGGATGACATTGCTTGACTTAAAATTTGACTTGGAAGAGTTTACCCTAATTCTGAAGCTTTAATTTCATATAAATTACCATTTCATTTTTTTGTCATCTGGCATTTTATTGTAATTAATATATATTGAAGTGTACACTGACTGTGCTGAATCCCCGTTTCATTCTAAATATCACAATGTACATTAAGTCATTATTTATACTCAGCTCTCGATCACTACATAAATAAACTCACCATTTCTACCCAAGTGCCTCCAACAGGAATAAACCTGCCTTTCTTAACAAAATCCTTGATTTGTGTGTACAGTCCTGGATAATGGTCTTTCACCCATTCATACTGCTGAGCCTGTCAATAGAAATTAAGAAAATTATGAAACTTATTTATTACTCATTGATGTTGTTGGAACCTCATTACACCTGGAATATGGTTCCCCAACAGCTGCTACTATGTTTTACACCACCACAGGACTTTCAGTAGAATACTAAGTCAAACAGTAAACTTCAGTTATCATTTTACAGTCTTATACTGGTAATTTGTACATGTACATTGTATGACAAAATCCCCAAATGAATATTAAATATTCAGATCTTGGGTTGAGGTTTTTTTAATTCATTTTATTTTATTTATTTATTTTTTTGGGAGTGTTTATCATATATATTAAAAGAATTGATTGTTCTTACTTGTGAGCAGATGAAAATTGAAGTCTGGGTTTGACTTGTCTTAATTGTCAGCAGGTGAAAGTTGAAGTCTGGGTTTGACTTAATTGTCTTAACTGTCAGCAAGTGAAGTTCAAGACTGGGGTTAGATTTTTATCTTACCTGTGAGCAGATGAAGTTGAAGTCTGTGTTAAGATCTATCTTACCTGTGAGTAGGTCAAGTTGAAGTCTGGAGTAGATTTATCTTACCTGTGAACATGTGAAGTTAAAGTCTGGGTTAGATTTGTCTTACCTGTGAGAAGGTGAAGTAGAAGATTGGGTAAATACTGTTTAACCTGTGACGTAGTAAAGTTGAATTCTTCGTTAGATTTGTCTTACCTGTGAGCAAGTGAAGTTGAAGTCTAGGAAGATTTGTCTTACCTGTGAACAGGTGAAGTTAAACCTGTAGAGTAACTTGTTTAACTTCTGAGCAGATGAAGTTGAATTGCAGTTTAGATGTGACTTACCCATGAGAAGGTGAAGTTGATCTGGGTTAGATTTGTCATACCTGTGAGCAGATGAAGTTGATCTGGGTTAGATTTGTCATACCTGTGAGCAACTGAAGTTGATCTGGGTTAGATTTTTCCTACCTGTGAGCAGGTGAAGTTGATCTGGGTTAGATTTTTCCTACCTGTGAGCAGGTGAAATTGAAGTCTGGGTACTGCTCCATCAGTCTGATGGTACATGACCAACTCCTGGCACACTTCCTGATGGTTTCAGCATACGGCCACAACCAGGCTAGAAATTATTAACAGGTAGAAATGAAAGAATGTCATACTGTAGCAAAATATATGATGCATTAAGAACTCTTTTTTAATAGGTTTCATGTAAGTACAGTAAAAACTGTCTAATCCCACACCTGTGTAGTCTGTTCCACTGTGAATTCTGACCTTCATGTTAATTCCAACTTTACTTTTTTCTATGTTCTTTACACTTTGCAATCTGACCTGTCTACTCCGATACAAAATTTGTGTTCTAGTGCATGTCAGATTAGACAGGTTTCACTGCATGTAAATATATAGATACTGTATCATGTATCAATGTTCTCCATCATTTCAAATTTAACTGTGGTGCAAGACTTACGCGAAGTGCTAATATTCGCGTTCATTTTGCAACCGAATTCGACAAGGAACCACGAAATAAATTGAAAAACACACAACCCCCATGAATCAATAGTTTAATATACAAATGATATTTATTATTTGGCAAATTGATTATTAAATTTAATAATAAAAGTAATTAAACGATATCAATTAAACATCGTGTAAAACAAAAATTAGGATGTTCCCAAAATATATGCATACTGTGAAAAAGAACCCCCCTCCCAAACACATACGTACATGTACTTATAAATAAACAAATATTAGCTTTTAAAATCTGAAACTAAAAGTACCAGTAACAACAAGTTTTAAGCAATATTAAACCCTCTTTAAAAAAAATTACAGAAGGTAAATTATATAGTGTTCATTAGAGGACGGAGGCAATTCTGATAAGTCACACAATCACGCTAACATCTATATAAATTCGCAATTTTCGGCCTGAAGACTGAAATATCTTAAAATTTGTGAATTAAAAAAATACTTCAGCAGTTTAGAGTCATAAAATATTATTTTGGTGGATCTATCGTTTATTTTTCAACATTGCAAAAATACATGATTACGATATACGTGCGATGTTTGACACGCAGTGCCAAAGCAATTTTGGATAAGTGGTTATCTGTAGAACTATTAAAACATGAATTAATTAATATTAAAAATTTCATTTGCAATTAACGTGAAATGTGTGGAAAAAATGGCTTTTCTCTTTTCATTCAAGTGTCCACCGAGGTTTAGAAGATAATTGCTTGTGCAAGCCAAACAATGGGCCCTAATTAGAGTAAATTAATGGTTTAGCATTAGAAACTGGAAAACGGTACATAATTTGGAGGTTCATTTGGTTTACAAATTTATATATTTATCTTACGGACGACGACGATCTTACTGTGGCGCTAAAATTTTAACTGTGGCGGAACTATGGCGCTGATTTTTTAACTGTGGCGCTAAGGAATTTAACTGTGGCGGGGCCGCCACGTTAAACAGCCCATGGTGAACCCTGATGTATACATATACATGTATGGCATGGTATAGTTATATCAGGATATCAAAACGGTTTTTCATAAGAGGGAATGTTTTCGAAATGATGGAACTGACAGAATATCAGCCTAAAATGCATGACTGTCTTATTAATTAAACTGTCTAGAAAGTAATCTTGATTAGGTATTAATATGGAAATGATCTTACCAGAGTCCATGTGGGCATGTCCCATGGCATACATCACATGCTGACTCTCTCCATTTCTTTGTTGAAAAAACTTCTCTGCAATCTGATGAGCTCTAATAAAAAAAATTGTTCCAGAAGTTTGTTTTTTTTTTTAATCTTGGTGTGTATGGGAGGTGATAACCAACACAGAGTTAGTGATTATTTGCATAAGCAAAAAGGGATGGTTATTATCCTCATACACACCCAAACATAAGCACTTATTTCATATTTAATATCATTTTTACTTCACAGTTAAATTTCCATAACCCTACTCTTGGATTTAAACATGATTCATATATAGGTGTGTCAATTCACACAGTCTATAACTATTACTTTTTCATATTAAAGTTTGAAATGAGTCCCACATTTGACAGTTGATTGTTTGTAGATAGGGTCATTTCATGCATAAAATGAACCTAGTTCTTTGCTTCTATCTAACAATTTTTTTTCCAGTTTTGCTATAAATAAGAGTTGATCCAGTTTATGTTCCTACACCTTTATAACTCTTTTTTCTAAAGCTTCACTTTCATTGTTGAATTTAATATAATTAGGAAATCTATCTGTAGCTTTTCATAAAGACTTGGTATTGGAAAAATGGTTCATTAATGAAACAATTTCTAATAAAACAAGTAGATACATTGTGCATCTACATAACTAACTTTGCATATGTAGACCTGTCATTGAGGTCAAGGGAGTTAATCAGATGATTCACGGTGTATAACGCTTGGTATCCTCTTTCAGTTTCTTCTGTCATATGCTGTCAAAAAGAGAAATTATAATCTACTATAATCATCATAATTAAATGCTTTAAATGTTGATTTTCTTTTCTAAGTTTTTGAACTAATTAATTCAAGAGGTAGTGGAAATTGTTTGCAAAAATAAGGCACTAAAAATATATCAACATTTATTTATCAGAATTAAGTAAATGCCTGCATATTAAATAAGAAATTAAAATGCTATTTAAAGAAAACATTACCAAATTCATAATAATGAAATTACTCTTAACAAATATATCCCAGATACCTGCCTAGCAAGAAAGGAGTTACCTCCCTTTTCACATTTTAATCATGGAACTTATCTTCAATTTTTTTTACCATTATCAACTAATTTGCCTTCTTTCTTGCTTTTTTCCGAGCATCTGTCTTTTGTGTATTGAATTAATTATTTTGAAGATAATGGTTTAATTTAATTTATTTTCTGTTATTATGGGGATTTAATACTTCATGTGGAGGATGCATCAAGTGTTAGAGCAAAATCCATTTGCACCAAGGCATATGCATATATATTTATTTTAGAAATAACTGTCTAGTTTTAATTTTTTCCCTTTAGGGATTGAACATTGTTATTTGCATAAAAGGCAAAGCCATTTATGTATGAATTCCCATGAGTATGACTATTCAGTGGCTTTATTTTCAGTGCATTGGGTAATGTTGAAAACTTAAAGTAAATACATATAAAAAATAAAACTTGTCATGTCTAAAAACATTTATTAGATGAAAGTAGCAAAGTAGAATTATTTATATATGATACAACCTTTGCCATGTCATGAAGTGTTTCCACATCCAAAATTAAGTCATACACCTCTCTGTCAAATATGGCTATCTCAGCCTGACTCAGGGTGAAGGTTCTGTTCATGTCGGGGGGACCAATCATGGAGTCCCCACCCACACCAAGGATGCCATTACAGGCCATCTCTATGTACAGGGAGCACCTGAAGGGGAATTGACATATAAGGCAGTTAAAAGGAGTTTGAATTTACATATACCGGTATATTATGAAAAATACAAACTCTAATGACATTGATTTTAAAACATGATTGTGACGTAAACCTTTTGTTTGTGTTGTCCATTCTATAGCTTAATGTTGAGCTAACTCCTCAAAGAATCCATTAAGTTACCTGTAAGTGTCCATTCTTTTTGGAAAACTGTCCATTCTTTTTAAGAATGGACAGTTTTTTTCAAAAAGAATGGACACTTAAAACAAACAGAATGGAGAGTTACAGGTAAACTTTGGAATGTGTTCAAGAGGGAAACAAAACAAATACATTAAATACTCTTTAATTTACATGTAAATAACAGAAAGAACACGGAGATCTAAGCTAATCCAGAACACAATGTCTGCACAGGATCCACTTGATTTCATGAATAATGTACATTATTTCAATACTCAAAACTCAATTTTCACAAAACTTGATTTCAAATGACACAATTTCACATTTGACTTTTCGGAAAAATTATTCCCTCGAGGAGAATTCATTTTAAGATAGAAGTACGTCTAATATTAAATCCTCCACCCAGAAAACAGTTTGCTCCATGAACACTTCACTGCTGCAGTTAATATTTCCGTAGAAAATAATTAAAAATGAAACATCTCCAGATTTGATTTGTAAAACATTTTCAGGTCGAAGATTGGCTCATGGCTACCCAACATTCAGAACACAATATGCATATCACCAGTACACTGCTGCAGTTAATATATCCTCAAAAATAGAATTCAAATAAAACATTTCCAGGTTTGATTCAAATTTGATTATCTGTATCTGTTGGAGAAGTTCACTTTTGGGTCAAAGTTTGGCTAATATTTCTTTTACTTTTACTCTTCTGCATGTTTCCAGATCCAAATATCACCAATTTTATGCATATTTTGGTTTATTAGATTTTGATTCTGTCATATACTCTCTCCATCAGAGGAAGACATGTATGCCTTTACAACGCAAGCTATAAACTGATTTTGAAGCATGGCATACTTGTATAAATACTAGTATCCCCCAAAATCCACCTGTATCTGTCCATTCTTAAGACAAAGACCTTTTGTTATTTGCATCTGCCTGAAACACAATGGCTATTCAACAAATTGCTCTGCATCCCTAGCTTACCTATGACTGTCCATTCTGTAAACAATGAATTTGTCATTGTATGTGTGCTACCTGTCATATCTGCTACCAGTTTTGTAATTTGTTTTATTTCATTTTCAGAACAAAGGAAATCATGTTTTAAGTAGGAGAAAGGCCTCAAACTGTCCATTCTGTGAGAGAAAGAACTAATCTCGGGCCTACGGCCCTCGATTAGTTCTTTCTCTCACAGAATGGACAGTTTTCGGCCTTTCTCCTTTACATAATTCTACTCTAACTTGTACAATTAAAGAATCTGGAGATGACCTTTCCTTTATTTGGAAATATAATTCTAAATGTAACAAATGTGATAAAAATAAAGGTGATATAATTGTATTTACACATCAATGATTTTTTTTATACACGTTTTATACATAATGAGTATTTACCACACCTTTTCTTGTCTTTCCCCATGGCTTTAGACAGAGGGAATGAGGTCCTGTCATAGTCTCCACTCAGACCCTACAAAAAAAATATCAGAAAGTGCTTTCTTTGGATGTCAGTATGGGAATTAATGTTGCAGTAGTTGAAGAAAAAATACATGACCTACATAAGCAAGTTGTGTAATTTTTTTCTGCCATAGCTGTAAATGTTATGTTTCATACTAACAAAGAAACACATTTTATTGTTTATATTTATATCTGTATAAATAATCAGGTAAAGTAGAATTTAGTACTTTAAATATTGTATTACTGACATGTAAATCAGCCAATTAATGCTGATCAAGAAATCTGTACAGGTGGCTTGCTTAGCAGCGTTAAAAGTATTGTTAAATGACCATAGTTTGTCACCAAAATTACAGTATCAGGCATACATGTACTTGATACCTGGTATATGAATTTGTTTTGGAATTAGGATTTATAAGAAATAAGGAGTGAAACTGCACACATAAAGAAGCTAATTTTGAATTTTAAATAAAGATAAGCACATCTTTACATGTATCTTCTTTAGAGATTATTTTTAAAAGAGATACTACAATAATCAGTGTCATTGTTACCTGTATTGGGTTTCCATCCTGCCACACCATGGCCTCTGTGTTTGAGTTCCACAGAAGATGTATCTCCTCCTTCTTCCATCCAGCTGGAATCTCAATCTCCAGACAGAACCAGTGGGTAGACCAGCTAAAACAAATCTCTGGATTAAAGTCAACATCTTTAAAGATTTTTTTTCTTCAGGTGGAAAGATACTTCTTATGTACTTATTTTCGTAAGATTCAAATTTAAGCACCTTATTCACTGACTACAATGCAATAAATTCATGATTACAGTCAAAGTATGATTGAAAACAAAAATTCATAAGACTTCTGTGAGCCAATTATTGTAAAGTGTTAAGCTCTATAGTTTATGAGGATTGATGACACAAAAGTGAATGTGCTGAATGTAACAGGAAGGGAGAAAATGTTTTATAATAAAACAAGCTTGAAAGTCAACATTTTAGAACTCCAGAGCAATGTCAACTACAAGCACAGAAAAATAATGCTGAGTACAAAAATTACTTCTACTTGACTATTCTACATTTAGGTGAGAGTATAGGCATAAACCCCATCCTAATATTTCTAATGTATAGATTGCATCTCATCATGTATGGAATAAAAGCAAAAGTTACACACGTTGGTCCAAAGGACTGTCCAACCTCTGCTTTGGTGAATTTTCCTTTGATGGCTTGTGAAAAAGGAATTCTACCTGATGCTGCAAAGTGGGTTATTGATTTCAGAGGATGGTGGTCACTATATAACCTACAAAACATTTTTAAAGCCTCAAATGCAACAGGACCATCTTCATTGTGGATTGATTTCAATACCATTGTTGTTTACTGATTAGAAAATAACTTAGAAAATAATAAATTACGTGGTCTCAAACATTCTGATACTGGAAACAGCTTAATTAATGTCATTATTTGCTATCCATGAACACAAACTTTTATGTACCTTCCTCTAAGATTGACATCTTTGAAATAGATAGGAGATATAAATTTGTCTGCTCTTTCAAGTGTTGTCCTCTTGTTTTTCAATGTTACGTGCTCCATGTCTGAAGAGGGTATTTATTCCAAATAGAGGCAGTGATGATCACATGTTGATATCATAAACTGAGAAATAGCATTGTAATACAGAGCATTGCATTACATGTCATCATGCATTTGAACTGTAATACTACTCAATAATTATCTATGAACATTAACATCGTTATCACTAAAACATGATAACTTTGTTCTTTGTCATTGCATGTCTTCATCTCTTATCAGCTGATGAAGAAAATTCGAGCTATAAGTGCCTGTCGTATGATTTGCAATATGTAACGATTGTCATCGTAAGGCAACATGTCAGCAGGATGCATATATAAATATAGAACCAAAATAACGGACACAAGTTTAATCTTTATTGAATATAGATTTTTAAGTATTAACAAATGTTTTCAGTAATTTTATTTCACTCACCGGCTGAAAACGAAAGTTGAATCGAATTTTCGATCCCGATCCAAATACATGTACATGTATTTTCATGGACGATAGGAAACCGATACTTTCAAAGAAATCTATAATTTTAATATTTATAATAATGTCTTAATTGCTCTGTTTTTTTTGTTCACATATAATAAAATTCAGTAAATCAAAATATGAAACACTTCAATTCTCTGCTAAATGCATGTCAGAGAGAAAAAAGTTTTGCATTTTGATTGAAGTGTATTGAAGCATTGGGAAAGTCAATGATTAAACGTACAGGCTTTAGATCAAAAAAGTTTGTCTATACACGAGGGTTGTTGGGCAAGTTCGCGGACTTCTATTAGAAATTTTTTAACGTAATTACATCAAAATTTTGTAGAAATTTTTAAACAATAAATTTGAATTATGTGTATTATTTTTTTTTAAAATATTGTTATTTATATTCAAAACTTACTCAGAATTTAAAAAAAAAAAACAAAAAAAAAACTGCGAAAATAGGATCTCGGTGCAGGCATGTCAAAATTTAGTAATTTACAAACAATACACCAAATAACGTCTTAAGAATTGTTACCTCGTTTCATATTCCAAATTATGACTTAATATTTTGCTTCGTTGTAAAACAAAATTCAATTTTAAAAGATAGTCCTCACTGAAAAAGGCAAAAAATATGACGTTGTAGGTTGTAGAACCTCACGGAGCAGCATTTACGTTGTACTCGGGAAAACTCCAGAATAAACTCTGAAGAAAATGCTGGAGGAAGCAGGAAATATGTCAAAACACTGCAAAAGCAAGTCGTGCATTTGTGTGTAAATGGCACAGTTGGTATTTGATGATAGAGACGTTGACGATCTGTGAGGAAACAGATTATCTCTAAAAATCTGATTAAAAAGCAGAAGCACTTAGAGATTCACATCTGTAAACTAAGGATTTTTTTCTTTAATATTTGGTTGGAAATATTGTACACAAATAATACCATGTTAAATATCTTATGTATGTACATTTTGTATTTTGCCGGTAATTGTCTAATGAGTATGTAATCTGATAAGCTTAAGGAATAAATAAACAAACAATAAAAAAAATTGTTAGGTGATGGAAAGAGATAGGCGCTTCACAGTTGCTGATCTTGTGAAAGCACAACAGTTTCGCGGTAAAAGAAATTAAAACATTGACAAACGAAATTATGTCACTGAAACAATTATTAGCAAAATAATAAGTGATACAGATTTTTTCAATGAGTGGATATTGGACCAGAATGTGTGAAATGTATAGGGAGTCCGAGAGTATTTTTGAGACACTCGTGATGTTTTGTAGAGAGAGAGAGAAAGAGAAAGAGAGAGAGAGATTATAAAGTACATTGTAATTGTCTTTTGATCAATTTTTTTTTTATATTTTATTTTATTTTTGTCATTTTATTTTATTTATTTATCTATTTCTTATTTATTTATTTATTTATTTTTTGTTTATCAAAAATGTGTCGGCATCCACCCCAAACAATCGTAAATATTATAGAAATACCCTCATCACTGCTCATGCGAGAACATACAAAGCATTGCGTATGAATATCATTGAAAAGAGGAGGGGTGTAGGGAGAGTGTCTTAATAACACATTTACATCTCTAAATCTTCTTCATAATCCAAGTCCACACATGCAGTCAGCTATATTTGATCAAAATTACCATTATACAGAGCAAGTTTTCCTCAATCTTGCCCAGAACATTCCCACTTGGTCAAACCTTGTTATCTTGAACTCAATGGGTCCAAGAAAAGTTTGAGATACCTAAACAAGAGGCCCAGGGGCCACATCGCTCACCTGAGCACTCTGGCTAGGAAAAAGCAGAAATCAGTTCAGTCTTGAAAAGTTTAAATATAAAACAGGTTTGGGGGGGGGGGATCATAATTTGTACAAATTTGAATCTACATTACCTGATGATGCTTCTATTTAAATATGACTAATCATGGCTTTGCTGTTCTTGAGAAGATTTTTAAAGATGTTCCATATATATTCCTATGTAAAACTTTGATCACCCATTGTGGCCCCACCCTACCCCTGGGGGGTCATGATTTGAACAAACTTGAATCTACACTACCTGAGGATGCTTCCATTTAAATATGACCAATCATGGCTTTGCTGTTCTTGAGAAGATGATTTTTAAAGATTTTTCCTATGTTTTCTTAAGTAAAACTTTGATCGCCCATTGTGGCCCCACCCTACCCCCAGGGGTCATGACTGGAACAAACTTGAATCTACACTACCTGAGGATGCTTCCATATAAATATGACCCATCATGGCTTTGCTATTCTTGAGAAGAAGATTTTAAAAGATTTTTCCTATGTTTTCTTATGTAAAACTTTGATCGCCCATTGTGGCCCCACCCTACCCCCGGGGGTCATGATTTGAACAAACTTGAATCTACACTACCTGAGGATGCTTCCATATAAGTTTCATATTTTCAAGCACAGTGGTTTTTGAGAAGAAGATTTTTAAATGATGCCATTAATTTTTCATGAATTCATAATTATCTCCCCTTGGAAGAAGGCATGGCCCTTCATTTGAACAAACTTGAATCCCCTTTACCCAAGGATACTTTGTGGCAAGTTTGGTTGAAATTGGCCTAGTGGTTCTTGAGAAGAAGATGAAAATGTGAAAAGATTACGACAACGACAATGCCAACGACTATGACAACGACGACAGACAACGGACAAATTTCAATCAGAAAAGCTCACTTGAGCCTTTGGCTCAGGTGAGCTAAAAAAATTGGAGATATGAAGTCTAATACATGAAGACTAAAGTGTGTTGTACTCAATCTAATTAATTTCAGTATTCAAGATATTAACGTTCAAGATACTGATATACAGCAGACTGAATTTTCTGCATTCATTGTGAAGCATTTCTGTGTCAGTTGTCAATCTTGTTCCTGTTTAGACAGTGTATCTTGATTAACCCAGTTTCAAGGTCATAACACCTAGGTCAGGGTCAATCCTCGATGTCAAGGTCAACACACTGGTCTGTATATAAGACAATACCTGTATCTATTTTTTGTTTAATTTTATTTACAGATCAGTTACCAGTTATGCAATGAGGCAAAATATGTGATAGCAATTAGGCTGAACAGAAATTGGTAGCCAAAAGAATATTCATTAACAAGTCAAATTAATTAAATTGTAACAAAATGTTATCAAAATTTCAAGAAGAGTACAACTTATTTATTTCAGTGTCTGTATGTTTAATAAATATTTACAAGAAATCAAAATGATATTATGAAAAAATGACATTGATAAAAAAAAAGCTTTGGAAAATGTATTTGATGTTTCCATATGATGTAAATAATGGGTCCCAAATTCAATTTAAGTCTATAAAATCAGTTCTCAAAAAAAAAAAACATTGATGATTAATTGTCATGAATACATCACATTTGACTAGCCTAATTAATAATGTATAAATCCAGTGTATAAAAAAAATGGCTGAATGGCTTACAATTCCTTTGGTATTTTGATTGTCATATTGAGCATCTTTGTATTGATGTATATATTAAAATGCTTCATACTATAATAGAATAGAAAATTGTGAACACATTGTACACATCACAAAATGAGTTTCTGGCAGTGTGTGTGTGCATATAATTGTAGCTTTGGTCTTCATATGAATTCAAATAAAACATACTGATCTAACAGAGAACGAATGATTAAACATGCATTCAAATAAAAAAAGACCTTAATAGTATAACATGTACATGTACAAGGTACAGTTTTTAAAAAGATAATGTGAAAATACTACTTGAAATTTATTTCACTTTTTTATTTAAAAGAGTTTTAATATATTAATTATTATACTTTTGAACTATATACACATTCATAGATTAATTGTCTTTTTATGTACAGGACTGAGTAATAATACAATTACATACCTTTGTCATAAGAATACACATATTAAAAAACATGTTGTAAGTGCACTTAAATGAACAATGTCGTTCTACCGTTACCTAATCTTGGACCGCAAAAAAAACCTACATTTCTGTTCCATATATACACATATTATTTCCAAGATGGAAAAAAAGATGAAATCAAGATAAAGTTTCATAGATCACTAAATTTAAACTTCATTTTCATGTCTGGATTTATTCTGAGCCAGCAGATAGTCTATGTTATCGTAAGCTCCATCATCGAGCGTCGTGGAAACAGATGGACTTCCCAATGTGTTCCACAGCTCCTGCATTTCTGCTATTTCTGTCTCGTTGGGGCCATGTATAGAGGCAAACTCCCCCGTTTCATTGGGAGGGGGTAAAATAATGGGCTTTTTAGGGGGAAAGTCATCATCATGTAAGCACTGGTAAGAGTCAATGATGTTCGCTAAGTTTCTGTCCCCCTCAGAACCGATTGATTCCTCTGAGCCCGAGGGGAGGGGTGTCACTAAAGCTACGGGTGAAAATGTCACTGTTTTAGGTTTTTTACTTTTGTGTCCCCTCTGAGGGAGTGAGGAAATCACCCGAATTTCTGTCATTTCAGACAATGGTTTCTGTGGATTCATTGTGAAATATCTCTCTGGGTCACTCTCAGGTACAGAGCAGTAATCAGGAGGTGGATCCAACAGGAGTGGTAACTCTGGACTACGAGGCCTTGGAGGCACCCCATTGACCTTGACCTGATTGATTGGTGAGACTGGAGGCTCTGGGTCTATTTCCTCAGCTGGCCCCTGTAGGAAAGCCTCTTTGAGTTTTTTATCTGCCTCATCGTCTAGTTCAGAGAAGTTGGTCAATTTCATAGGACTGCGTTTGATAGAGCAGTATCGGTCCTCCTCATATTGGTATTTCTTATGAGTGGCATTTTTATCATCAGGATGGTACACCTTGCCTCGTACCATCGGAGACGGAATCACCTCCGGCATCTTAGGAAGGTTACTCCTTTCTCTCTCACTGAAAATACAACACAGAAGTCAATGACAGAAATTGATTCCATTTTATAAGGAATACTCCAATATGCATGACCCATCATTTATTTAGTGATATAATACAATAGAACAAGTCTAGCAAGACTTTATCAAGCAAATTCTCTTGAATATTTTGATTAACTCTTTGAATAAAATCCAACCATGTCATAACTCGGCACATGAAATGACTTACCGAGTACAGTGGACAGCTATGGCTACTACACACACAATAAGGATAACAGCCATTGCTCCCGCCACCCCTCCTATTATGGCTACTATAAGAGAACATCAAGAAAAAAAATTAATATACAGCAGGTTAGTATTATATATATTTACATCTCTTAAATATGTGTCAGAAAATATTAATGTTTTATGATATTTGTTCTGTCACATTTGCTTTAAAGATTATTCAATTTTATTGTCAGCATCACATAATTTTGTCAAGAAATCCATATTTTCTATGAATTTTGTCAAGTTTGTAAGTTTTGATGAATTTGCCATGTTTAACTGTTACAGTAAATTCATCAAACATAATAAAAGTATAAAATTCTTATTGAATGTATACACATGAAATATATAGCAGACAAGAATATCAAAAAAGAGAATTTTCCACTTACTCATATCTGGAATAATCTGACTTTCTGTTAGCTCATCCGGCACGGTCCCATTTCCTGAGGGGGATACAGTCCCCAGGGGTGATACTGTGACCTGGGGGCTGTCGGAGGACACCCCCTTTGTAATATTCCTATACAGTAGCTGGTCCATGGCTTCCCCACAGTAAATAACTACGTAATCCTCTGGTTGTTGAGCTGAAATTAATATTGCTGTGTTAAGGTAGTCTGACAATGGGGATCAACAGACAATGGTGCAATGTCATGTATCTGTTTTCAAGGTGAAATAAATGCCCTTAAATGCTGGTAACTAGATGCTGTACCTAAATTGAGAGTTTAAATGTCTTCAATTTTTATGTAAAACAGGAAGTATTATTTGATTTATGTATAATTTTATATTATTGTATTATGTTACCTTTGGGAAATATTAATTGGTCCTATAAAAAAAAACGCAGTATAAAAGTTCAAGCTGAACTGCACAGATGTGTGTTTGCACTTACCTTTTGCCAAAACTGCACATCTGTTATTTTAAATTATCATTATATTAAGAAAAAAACTTTCATTATGAGTATCCCATGTACCTTTAAAGATTCAACAATATGACCTCAATTCCAAATGATCATGGTACATGAATTGAAGTTTTTCAGAAGTTTTTTTTCTCTGAACCTGACAGCCTCCTTATAACTTAAGTGAAAAATTCTTGATAGGATGTAAAACAACCAACTGAACCCAGCACCTTATCCCAGGTATAAAACTTCTGCTTACCTCTGACATTTATCCAAATATACCCCCTAGAATCCTCCGACCTACTGTCCAGTGTAACGGTCAAATTGGTCACCATCCTGTGATAGAGGTTTCGGAACCCGTACATCCCGTTCTGTCCACACTGGACCACCACGCTGGGGAGGGAGGAAGAATCAGAAATACGGAGCTGCTGGGGGCACATGTCAGTTTTCTCTGGCAGGGTAATCATGATGTCTATGATGTTGATGGAGATCCCCGTGCTGGACCTCACCAGACATTTACAATACTGACCTCCTCCTTTGATTGGGAGGGGGTAGTTTTGGTTGGAGAGGTAGAGTTCTTGCCCTTGTTTGATTTCATTGTTGCAGAATTGGGCTATGTCAGACTCTAGAAAAGAAAAAAAAATACATTTCCTCATTAAATCTTCTTCCAGCATTAAATTTAGTGGCAGGAGTAAGAGATGCACTTCATTTACAAAGCACTGAATGATATTAGAAATTTTTAAAATACCAAAAAATGGAAAACATTGAAATTTGAGGGAGGTAACTCTTGTTAGATGAAAAGTATATATCTTTTATCTTAATTTAATTCATATGTTTTCATTCCTTTTACAAATGTATTTATTCACATTTACAGGAAGCATTACTGACCAGCAACACAGCTGTAGACCACAGTCATGTAAGTGGTATGTTTAATTTCCCTAGCACAGTGGTGCTTGGTTCGAATCCTCTCCACCTTTGTCTGACAGTTCTGGTACCCTGAGCATCGGATGTTCATGGTGGTGTAAATATCAGAGTTAGGGACAAGACAGTCTCCTTTCCCTCGTTCACAGCACCCAGATGACCAAAGTGGACTCCGCTTGCTACAATTAGAGTCTAATTTGGCTCCATAATACACTCTTTTGATGGCAATCTTGTGTTTGTCTGGACATTCTAGTTTGATTTCATCATCATTGCAACCACTGACATAAATGTTTTTCATCTGAGCTGCTTGACTCACTGTAAACAGAAAAAAATATATCTTTAAAAAAATCATGTCAATAACAATGGAGACAACTGAGACCACTACTTCTAAGTCTATATATGGATGGACTTCTAAGCCTATAAGCTTATAGTAAATGGACTTCTAAGCCTATAGAAAATGGACTTCTAAGCCTATAGAAAATGGACTTCTAAGCCTATAGTAAATTGAAGTTCTTAAGTAGTCTGTGGTTGTAAGTTAGCTACATGTAGATTCCACAAGTTAAGATAAAGTGACAGCAGATGTGCATACCCAGTAACACTTTTTCTTCATATCTTATACAGTGTACTTTACTCTTTATTCATATTTTTAAAAAATGAATATATTGACATCACACAAAGTTGTTACTTGTACATGTATTTATAACAGTTTTTAACTTTATATCAAAACATACTTGATTATTATAAGATTCAAACCTCAGTTCAAATATGTTACAATGGGGATAATCTTTTTTACTTTAATTATTAAAAAAAAACATTTAAATCTTCAAGGGACTGGTTTTTATGTGAATTGTTTTCTTTCTTGGATAACATAGTCCTTTCATTGAAGTTATGAAATAAAAATGACTTCATTATCTAGCTCAAGAAAAAGTCTTAAATTGCTCTTTAAAAAGTTTAATTTCACAGCCATAAAAAAATATTCAGCTTCACATCCAAGTGTACCATATATTATACCTTGTCCATAATTTAGACATTGTTATATGAGAGTGCTTTATTTGTTCATACAGAGTCCTGCACCTAAAGCAACATTTGCAGCTTAAAGTACAATTGTTATCCTGGATATTGGCTTTGTTCCTGTTCATTTCATCAAGTACAGGGGGATCTTTGCTATTTTTGCTGCTTGGTAGATCATTTAGATGTTTTTCCCTATGCTCATGAGTTTGTGTCACTCAAACCTTGACTATATCAGCTGTTCTCTATTTACCAACATTCAAGAACAATTACAAACACATTTCAATCCCGATAGGAATTCCAAAAAGTTGCTATTTTCATACGTATATACATAAGAGTTATCTTTCTTGGACAATGACATCCAAAAGACTTTCATAAGGAGGAAAGAATCCCCCTCCCAAATTTTGCTCCAAAATTAATGGCAGGCCAATAAAAATATTCCATGTGAATAATACAAGAAGTTCTTTTAGTTTTTTAAATTATAAATTATATTATAAATAAAAGCTCACAAATCCATAGCTCTTAAAAGCTTGCTTGATCATCAAGACATTTCTTATCCCCCCCCCTCCCTCCCTCCAACAGAAGATCATGGATCCTCTTCCCTGTGTGTTGAAACATCAACATATTCCTCAATTATAAATCTCAATCATGATCAGCATCTGCATTTTTAAAAAAATATGAAAAGAGATGGACATTTGTGCTCCACCCAACTTCCCACTCCATAATGCAACGGCACTTGTATATGAATTAGAAAACGTAGCTTTCTTCTTTATTTTTCTAACAGGAAAAACTCAATTATTGAGAAATAAAGATGTCAGTTCTTATTGGATTTATCTCCAGATAAACAGGATGGTGAAAGACATCTCTCTGTTATGATTGAGTTCACAGTAAATCAAGTGTGAAAATGACAAATTGACTTAGAGCTCTTAATCTCAAGTGGTTCTCGAGATTTTTTGGGGGGCATTCACTCTTAAGTCTTTACATTTCATAATGCTTTTTCCTTATTGTGTTTGTTAGAAAATTAAACAAACGTTGTTGCACAGTGTAAGGAGGTGATTGGGAAAATGTGTCTTACATCATGTCAGCCATTACAAAAAAATTCATTTCCTCCTTTCAGTTATGAAGTTTTGAAATTAAAAGATTTTTTTTTGGGGGGGAGGGGCAATATTATACAATATTATCAATTTATAAAATGAGTCTTTTACTTTTTCATATCCTGTCTATGAGTAGATAGAATGGTCCTTATAAGCAAGTATTTAATCAATTTTAAACCAAAGAAATTGAAGAAGGAAATTTTGGGTAAATCTTTGACTAACAAAGACATGCATGCAGTAATTTAAAAAAAGTACAAATGTAAGAAACAGGTGCTTTATAAAGTCAACAAAATCTTGTGAGTATCAGGCTCTGCAGTAGTCTAATTGAAAACAAACAGTGTTGTAGACATATACTTTGAAAATTGATCTAGAGTGTATGCAAATGTCAGGAACAAGAATTGTAGACAAAAGACATGTGGTATGGTGACCAAAGTCATGATGTGACCCTGTATTTGTGTTCAAAGGATTGAAATATTCCAGATGGAAACATGCCTTTTGCTGTGATTAGTTCCACCCTGGAAGTCATGAAACTGTTTGATCCAGATATGGCAGAACAAAAGGTTAGGTTCTGTTATGATGGTAGGGCCCTAATTTGCAACAGGCCTGCATAATTATTTACCAAGAAAATGGGTGCAACAGAGATAAAAGATAAAAGAAAAAATGCAGTTCTGAAATATGAACAGTGAATCTGTTAGAAATTATTATTTAGGCTGCAGAGATGGAGCTAGGAGTAATTGATTGTCTGAGAGCTCAATCAGACAGATTTTGTTAATTATCCCTTATATTATGTAGATAAAAAACCCAATAACCTAAGTCATCATGATATTTTTGTGTCTCCTTATCAAAAAAATACAAACAATGTAAGAGGTGCACTAGTTCAATGGAAAAGTGAAAGTACAATATGTAATTAAGTGTAAACTCTTTCAAATGTATTGAAATTTCCAATTTTGCTGACATTATGTTTACTCTACATGCTCCATGTACCAAATGATTTATACAACTCTGGGAAGCTGCTTTGGTGATTGAGACATTCATTTTTCTCAGAGAGAATATTACATGTTGTTTTATCTTTCCAATCTGGATGTATTTTATCCTTTCAAGCATTTAACTACATGTGCATCTTTATATTTTTAAAAATTGTACATTTTATTTATGTATTTCCAATGGTACTTAATTCTTGCAAGAGGGAGTTAGAGGAGAGAAGAAGGAAATGAAGACGTTGAAGATCAGTCTGGATTGCTGAGGAATGTGTTGACTGCTGAGGGAAGGAGGTCGGTCTTTGAAGTGAGTAAAGGTGAGACTCCGTAATGGAGATAATGTCATGGTTCACTGCACATCCAGGAAACAGGTTACTTTAACATAATCAACCAGACCGCAGCCTGCTGGCCATCTTCTATCAGAGAGTGGCAATCTCCAAAAATTTTCGATCAAGCTGTGTTGCAATTGTTATATGCATAAATGCCTTCAGTTTGAAAATGCAAATGCTTAATGACAAAAACCAATACAACAATTCAGAGTGTATTATTTGCAAGAAAATTTAAGTCACAGGATTCTCCACTTGGGATTGGTTGTAACACATATGTTATTTCTAAGTTTATTCAACATGCATATACCACTCTAAATCAGATAGGCAATAATATGAACTCAAAGAATAAAAAGCTGTCAGCAGTAATTTTAAATAATGCTGCTTGATTTGTCCGGAGATCCAGAAGTTGTTCTAAATTCTCAATGCCAAACAAATTATTGGTTGATGAAAAACAATATTGAATGTTGCTTGAAATTAAACATGAAAATTCCCCCCTGCATATCCTGATAGGAGAATTCCCATCAGAAACATGCTGAGCATGATGGGAAGATTTGTAGATGTCAGGGATTTTAATCGTAGCATCAGCACATGAGACAAGATAAATACACAATGATTCATTTACTGCACCCAACTAAAGCAGATTTAACAAGTGGCTGGAAGTCCAAAAATTTACTTCTGTCTGCTGTATAATCCAGAGAGAGAGAGAGAGAGAGAGAGAGAGAGAGAAAATTTATCTTAAAAATGTTAAAATCTTGATGTGAAAAGTACAATCAGATAACTACAGGTATTACTATTATAACTATTGACTATACATGCATGACGTAGTACATTTGCTACAATGATGTGAAATTATTAGTACTAAATATCTGATTTAATCTGAGGTGATTTTGCTATATGCTTCAGATGATTTTACAAAAAAAATATATACTGGTAACAGTAACACAGCTGGTTTGTCATGAAAGGACTATTGGAGATGATTTAGAAAGATAACAAACAATAGAATAAGTTATAAACAACTGTGATGCGTTAGGAGCTACAGCAGTATCTGAGGGAGCAGCTATTATTTCAGAGCTGTGGGGAGTATTGATTTTGTGATTTATCTTCATTGTCAGTAGACATATTAAACAGTACTTGTGAGCAAATTGGAATTGATGGAATATAACTATAATGTATCAATGTCACAGCTTCTGTTACTTTGTACTCTGTGTGGACTGTAGATGATATAGAAGGAGTCTCAGGAGTGTTAAGGTTATTTGAAATTTTGAGTGCAGTGTATATTTTAAGCCTATGCGTATCAAGCTACATGTAGATCTATAGTGATCCAACCTTCAATTTCATTGCTGAGCAATGAAATAGTGTACACATTGGATAGACACAAAAGTTTGATTGCATGGGCAGATATTTTGTTAACAACATTCACAGTATCTCACCATACATGTAACTACATGTAATAACAAATTTCAAAGTCCTCTCCAACTGCATTTTTATATCAACATACATGTACATATATAGGGTATCACACAAGGTCATCATCTAGTACATGTACATAAATGACCTTGATGCCCATTATCTTCTGATCAGAACCATGCAAGCCTCCCAGTGAACCCACTCTTACTAAATCTAATTTCTCGGGCATTCTGGCCATATTTCAAAAATTAACCACACCAATTGGGATTTTTATAAACAGAGGTGTGATAAAATTGCAGCATTTGAAGACAGTTTATCATATTTTGATGATAAACGTTGGCAATTGTTTGCCTTTATTTTTATCTGCATCCATGAAGAGGATGAAACATGCTTCCATAAATAATAGAGCTATAAACAATTCTTTGCTGCTCTGCATGACCAGGATGTCTAAAAGTTGGACTGGTCAGTGTAAGACAAATACTTCTCTGGAACCATGGCTCCAACATGCTGTTCCGTTTTATGAAGAGTTTTATTAATCTTGATAATAAAAAAATGGAGAAACATCCATCAAGGAACAATACCTCGCTCTGGAATGCTGTGAAATCCCGGGAATTGGGTCAGATTATGAAGATGCACATGCATTTATTCAAACCTGATCAAAGTGGTACCACATCTCATCTATGATAAACTGAACTTTTCATCTGGGACAAATGCCAGTTCTTTAAAAATTTGCAAAACTAAAAAACTTGGAGTTTTGATGACTTAATGTATCAATTATTGTTTCTATAGAATTTATGAATTATTAGCCTTAAAAGAATGAATAAAACTCTCATCGAGCACCTGAATGCTATGTGGAGAAAATTAAGGATGTATACTCAAAATTTTTCTTACGGAAGTTGCACCAGGCCTCAACCAAACTGGATCTTCTAAACCATTAACATTATACCAATAATCTGGCAGTAATGTGTGAAATTCACCCCATAATTAATACTTAATTGAAGTTTGAGATAAGAAATTACCCAAACCTCAACACATCAGCAGGTACCCCCTATCTCAGTCTGAAGTTGTCTCCCCTGCAGAGAGGTCATTTACTCAGTGTTTACATCAATGAAGTGGAATAATTGATTCATAAATGTCACTGTCTGATTGTTACATAAACAAATTAGAAGACAGACCATTAGGATAAATATTTGTATAGAGTATCAGATATTCCTTGGTGAATATTCAGCCTTCCCTGCTCTGGTAGAGATGCAGACATCTTATGTTTTTGAGTGTTTATGTTTTTACAAAAATAGGTGTTCATTATGCACCTGTGCATTTGGGATATGCTACATTGTGCAATAATAGCGTAATCATGTTAACAGAAGGCTACAAATTAGAAGAGAAATGAGGTTTCTACTCGGTACATTATTTTGAATGCATTTTTCATGTCAAGTCATCTCATCATCTGCATGGACCTTTAATATGTAACTCCAATTCATAAAAATCGTACATGTCTTATATAGACACCAACAAAATCATACAAGTGACCAAAGAGATTATTAACACATCATAAGGGTATTATTTTGATGCTGCTCACCAATGAAGAGGTCATTGATTCCAAAATCTGTTTGTCTTTTACCACCATTAGCAGAATCAGGGGCTATATTTGTGAGAGAAACATAAGAAATGAAAACAAGCTAACCCCCTCTGTATAAACAGTTAGGATGTGATAGATTGGCCGCAGACACACTCAACATAAGAAAAAAAAATTAGTTCAAGAAAAAGTTTTCATTGAGAGGTTCCTGGTTAACCACATCATGCAACAACCAAATTCTACAAGTTGTTGCATGCTTAACTCTTCATTTTCTTTGAAATTAGATAAGAAAAAAATCACTCTCCACAATGGAAAGTTAAGTATCAAATCCACACCCTCCTTTACATCTAAGAAAAGTGCAAACATTATTTTTTTTCTGTTGACCAAGATGAGTACAGGTTGCAGATTGAGTGCCAGTGCAGTGTGAGGTAGAGGGGACAGAGAAAGAAGGGACAGGATAGAGAAAGGTGAAGTTAATGGAGTGGTTGAAAACTGAAGGGTCAGAGAGAGCAAGTGAGACAGATGACCATCATGGATATAAAGAGAGTGATAGGCATGGAGTGGAGTTAAGGGGGGGGGGGGTAGGATGTGGGTTAAAATGAGAGGGTAGGTTACAGTAGAGTGGTTGATGAAATGGAATGGATGAAGAGAAATAGATGAATAAAGATATGTAGTTGGTTCCGTACTGTTATATGGAAAAGAGAGACCCTTTTTGAACTGGTATCCATTTTTTATGTAATTCTTTGTATTGTGCTAGTACAGTAGAACATGTCTAATCTGCATATAAATTATGTATTCCGAAATTTTGCCTATTATGATGTAAATTTTTAGTTTTTTCTTTAAATTGTTAAACTGCTGTCTAATCTGGAATGTTGTCTAATCTGGTCCCAGTGCTGTCCAGATTAGACAAGTTTTACTGTATTACTACTTCCTACATGTACATACTTGTGTTGTCTAGTATGAAATCTTGTCTCATCAGGCCAATTTCTATAGAACCAGGGTGTCCGGATTAAACAAGTTTTACTGTACTAATACTTGGTATATATATTGAATTATGCATCTTTGGCACTCTCTGTGGTTCTATGAGTGTCCTGTCCATTGTTTTATGAGGTCATGTCCACTTTTAATAGCACTGTGCATTAACTAAGGTCCTTGTTTTTCCTCTGAAGATTACAATTAATCCATCATTAGAGATATGACCAACAGACGACTCCTACTTTGCATGCTACATCTTGGGCTATGTTGACCCCTATCCATCATTTTCTTGTTTTCTCTTAACGGAATCAATATTGATATCTGAGAAGGCTTCTAAGATGACAGATCATTAATCTAAAGTCCCTCAATATCTCACAATCAGAAATTGTAGTGACCTCCATCCAAGACTTACGTATTCATGGTTTCTCCATAAACACTGAATCATCTGTAAAACTTATCTTCAAACTAACAAAATAAATGCTTGAAGCATTTCAGATCTAAAATGTTAAACTTAAAAAATAATTTTTTCGTTCCTTAAGTTTTAGTTGGAATGAGCTAGAGGCCCATGGGTCACCAGGGGGTGTGGGCAAAGGTGTATTTCTTACATGCAAAGTACAGAGACCATGAGTGATCAGCCTCTCAGCCTCTAGCAATTAGTTGGAATCCAAAACTTTAAAATATTTAATGAATTGCTCTCATATAATCACAGGCTTACCATACATACATATAATAGCAAAGGTGCAAGATATGCCCTATACCTCCCCCCCCCCATCCAACCCCCTCCCCCAACCTTAGGTGCAGGATAACGAACAGTTCACAAATCTCTAGTTTGTCTGTTTCTTAATTTTTTGTTAAACTTGTATTTCTAATTTCACATATTATATATCACCATGTAGAAGGTTATGTACTTGAACAATATATTTACAAACTGCAAATCCTGATTCATCCTAGGAGAGCATAAAATCCAAAACTTTTCAAAGAACACTTTTTTCACCTTAAGATAAGCATGCAGATTTGAATCTCTTAAGTCATCACTGCCAACAATTTTAAAACTCAGTCAATTTTCAAGTTTAAAAAAAAACATGAAGAGATCTTAAAATAGCACTATATAGAGAAACATCTACAGGACAGTGTTTATTCTATTTATCAAATGATGAAAGGCTTTGCACTCACCTTGTAAAACAGCACAAACCAGGAAGATGAGCTTATTCCAAACAATACAGGCATTCATTGTCACTGTGAAGCTTCACTTCCACACCAGAGCTTCTCAAGATGAATTAATTCTGGATGAAAAGCAATCTCTTCTAGAGAAAACCTTAAAAGAGTCTCTTCTTTGAAAAAAGTACAAAATGCGCTATCACAACTGTTACAAACGCAATGCAAAGTTTCACAGAAATAAGATGATTTCCCACTCCTTTCAAAATTGTTCCACTCCTTGAAGAAATTTCCAAGTTCTTTTTTTTTCAATCTTTCAAGTAATTTCCAACATTTTCCACTTTTGCAGAAATTTCCATTTTATCCCCCCAATTCCTGAAGCAATATCAACAAATAATTATTAACACTTAATCACTATTGACAAAACAGCATAAGCCCTCCAATTGGTTATAGAATTCACCAATGCATTTATCTGAGCTCCTATAAAGTGCTTCATGGGACTATTTACTTTCTACTTGTGACTGTATGTCTGGTCCAGCATCACGGTATCACTTTCTGACAGTCCACTGTTTATATATATCCCTCTACTCTCTGTTTACTCACTGTAGTGTTATAGGTCTATCTCTCATCTAGCTCATCATACCTGCAAATTAATACAATAGGCGTGTAATTAACCACAAAGCTTATCAAGGCTGTCCACTGCACTTTGAACTTGCAGGGGGTAAAGGTCGTAAAAACAGCTTTTCTAGATTCTTGTGGTTTACAATTGTTTATTAGTGAATAATTACTTAATCACGTGTTTATGGGTGTTCACAAAGAATTCCTTATAAAAAATGGAACTGAAAACAACCAGCAAAATAGAATGATATATCAGTTCTTTCAGAAAAGATCTGCATTAAATTAGAGAAGTATGCTAGGCAGCTCCTTAACAAAGTAACATCAGATTTGTGCCTTAATGAGTTGATATGCCAATGTTATAGGAATTCTGTGGCTGTACCATAAATATTATGGAAATTCTGATGGAAAAGTGTTTAAAAGCTGTAAAAAGGAGTGCAATCAATGAAAAACTTGATACAACAAAGTTTGATGTTAAATGTTAAAGACATTTTTTGGCATGCTTCTTTTGTGGGCTGTTAATCTGTTATATTGATTGAGATTAAATGAACAAAGCTTGATAAAGCTCAGAAATAGAGGGATGAAAGACATCACACGAGGAACTAGAAACATTAAACCTGGAGTTTGTTGAACAGGGGAAGTGAAAATAAAACACAAGACAATTACATGGTGCTTTTCTCTTCAATACAGTTTTTAACCCCCATCCTGAAAATCAATAGACATGGCAGATGTTTGTCATTCAGGCTTTGAATTGTAAAAGTTTTGATATTGGAAATTCTATAAAAATAATTGACTGTTTGGGAATTTTTCATAGATTTATGATTATTTAATGTATATTGTGCTTTTATCTGCTAACTAGACAAAATATTATTGGCAATATAGCCATTCATTATAAAATTCACTTTCATTATAAATTATTCCTAATTCAAATTGAAACTATTTTTAGATTTTATCAAACAAAGAACTGTTAACCATTAATTATAAAGAAGAACTTTTAACTTAACAAAACAAATTAAAAACAGTATTTTTATGCACTATTTAACTTTAAGAAAACAAATGATTACGAGATAAGATCCATAAACATCTCAGCAGTGATTTTCCAATTTAGATGGCTAGGATTCCAGTGTTATTGTAAAACACAATTACTTGCCACTTAACCATTAAGGAGCTTCTCCAGCCCCCTGTTGTTATGTCTTTATTCCATGCCCAGAATTCATGACAAACTCCCTATGGGGTGCATTTTATAAAACAGACCTATTTAGTACAACCCTTCCTGGTTCTCCAAGAAAAAAAAATTATAGATGAGCCATGAAAGAAGCACTGAATTAAAGATGTCAATTAAAAAGTATTATCTGTGATGATTAATCGTAAACTCTTGATCCTATCACAGGGCCCTGCCCTTTACAGGAAGCAGTATTTCTATAAATAGAATTGACAAGGTCAGATGTAAGGGGAGATAAGGCCTTCCTGCTGGGATACAAATGTCTGTGGAACTCCATGCTCCAGATAACCAAAACATGGCTATTTTGTTTCTCAAGTTCAGGATAAAATTTTTAAAGATATGTTCATTCACAAACAACTTAAAGTTTAAATTAGAAGTAAACCAGTGAAATCCTAATCCCTTCTTTTGGGTGCAATTCATATTGTAATAATTATAATTGATATCTTCTTGAAAATTTTGGATTAGCATACAGCAAATAACTTGAGAAAAAAAACCTTACCTTATGGTAATTTGTTAATCCCAAAAGAAAGTGAAGCAAGAAGGAGGCCTATCTGTGGGTTTTGAAGTTTATAAACTGAGGGTTCAAAGCATAAAGCCACTGCAATGACGTGAACAATTTGTCTGCAACAACTACCCCCTAATCCTGCATCTTAATCCAATCCAGGCATCTGGTTTACAGAAAAAAAAAATCATCAGGAGAATCTCCCCCGTGTTTCCTTAGTGTTAACCCCTTTATAGAAAAAATACAGTTGAGTGAGTGCTTTAATTTCTGATTACTGTATGAATCTCCATTTGCATTGCTATCCATATGTTGCATGAGTGAAACTTTTTGATCCTTTTATGTGAGATACAAATGCTGCATACTAATGAGGCAAATCTGGCCATGATTTCTTGATTGGTTTTTTCAACCTTTTTATCATGCCCAAGTGATCCGCAGTCAATTAAAAATAGGGGGAAACCATTAAATAAGTTTATTGCCTAAGGGCTGTTTTTTTTAGACCATATTGACTTCAATTTCCAATATCTTCAAGAAAAATCTTTGTTTTAGAATACATGTAGTTTATGTATACAACTACTTGTCTCTTCAATTTTTTTTTTAAAAAAATGTTTAAAAATAAATGTACTAACTATTTGTAACTCAAAAGATGCATATAATATTTTTTTTATTGTAAAAACACATAATTAGAACATTTATCTATCTACCTTTCAAATAGGATCACTAATGTGCAGTCATTTACAAATAAAATCAATATTGTAAATATTTAATTCTTTAAACTACACAATACCTTCTTGTTTTTTTTTAAATTTCTATGGAGGGACTACATGAGGCTGGTCTCCCCAATCTCCAGGGTTGTCAGGTAGCAGAACCCTCTAGTAGAGCATTTGGTATATACTTTTAGGATGGTATTAGAATTTTATAATGTGGCAGTAATAGCTGATATTTTCTCTGAGTCATAGGGTGGCAATAATTTCAAGATAATTTTCAAGATCTAACAGTTTGTAATTTGTTAATAATAATTCTCTGCAGTTATTCAAGTGTAATATGCTTGTAATTTGATAACACATTATTGCCAGAGAGAGAGAGAGAGAGAGAGAGAGAGAGAGAGAGAGAGTCATTTTTAGAGAGAAAAGAGAGTATATTCTATTAACTTGAACCCCTACGGGGCAGATGTCCATTTTTCTTTAAATAGAGCCATGATAGAATTAAAGGAGAAGATGGCAAAGATACTCGTAAAACTGTTGCTTGTAGCAATACGCAATTTATTATGTGGTCAGAAAAAGTAATTATGGCCTCATCTTAAATGTCACCTTAGAGTCTTTGTGGTCACATTGACAGAGGTATTTATCTTTGTTTAAGCTTTTCCCAACTAAGTAATTATCATTACTGTGCCTAGGGTGACACGCTAATAAAGATTTCAAGAGAGAGTTTTAAGAAAAATAACCACAGAATTTCAATTGAAGTATATAAAATGAGAAAAAGAAAGATATGATTCAATACCTTGAAATTCGTAGAATGTCCCTTGGATGGCTTTTTAAATATAAATTTCAGAAGCAATTGATAAAATCCTGCACCAGAAAATACACTCACAACTCCAACATCACAGTGTGCCATAAGTTCACAGAAAAGTCAGTGCTAATAACTCCGAGCGCTGCACATAATGCTCCAAGTCCCTACTACACCTAGTAACCCTGTACAACTACTGCTAACAGATAGATATCTGCCCCACATGAAGACGGGAGAAACACTACATCGCTCACTACTTAATAGCTAGCTAGAACACAGATTCCTTCTGTAAGATGCTACTCTTTGCATCTTCTTGACCTAAAACAAGTACCTGTATCGGTACACCTGATCAACTTCAGATTCCCTGCTGAATCAAATACACCCAATATCCGTTGGCCTACATGTAAATTTCCGCCAAACCATGTACATGGGTCCTGATAGTCTGTCAAGGTGTACAAGCCTCTTTGCAGCCTCCGATACAGCGGCGATAAGGCGGAGAAGTTAGATAGAGCCGAGGATGCCGAATTCTCCAGATGTCCAAAGACAATGGTTCTTATCGCGAATACTCGACATTCCGACTTAAACAGTGAGATTGTGCTGGAGATTCGACTGGAATTGATGGTAATTCACGTCACTTTCATCTTCCAGGCTATTACAGGTGATTATTAGGGGGAATAATGTTGGTAGAATGCAGCTTAGGGGGATTGGAGTCATAAACTAATTCTAGCTGTTGTATGCAATTTCCAAAGACAGAAGTTTCAGAAAAATATATCGTTTCAATGTTGGAAGAAAAATAAATGTCACATGATAAATAAAATGAAGCCCGGTTCCCCCTTTTAATTTTTTTTCTAAATTCCTCTATTTTTTGTATGTAGATTAATAAGTGTGCTAATAAATTATAACACGATGCATGACCGTTATATATACATGTACATGTAATATTTATTTTTTACTTGTCAAATAGCTTTGTATATCTGGACAAGCTGCATACTTGTCTGGATAATTATTAAGACGGTTCATGATCTCAACGATTTTAAAAAGAAATGAATTTAGGTTTATTTGTTTGTTTGTTTTTTCTTTGGTTTGTTTGTTTTTGATTTTTTTTTTCAATTTTAATTCCCCTTTTTGTGTAATCAGATACAGAATGTCGGGATTATTTTTTTGATGGTTCTGCATCGGTGAATATTCAAAACTGCCAAAGGGCGATAGTGATTAAATATTGATCTTTGATGACAAAAAAGCGATTCAAATTCAGATAACATCTGCTTTTTGGTTGTACATGCAGTTAATGTTTTAGTAGAAGCCATTTTCTGTTCCCTTCCATTTAATGCAATCAAATAAACAACAATCAATCAGATTCGAATCGTGGTGCATTATGGGTGTTTTTGTTTTCTGTATGCTAAATCAATTTAAATAAAAAGTAAAATGGTTGCTAAAGATTTGAATTCAGGATTACCACAAATCTGTATTTTTAACCCAATGTTTAAATATTACTTGTGCTGTTCTTTGTTGAGCTACATGTACTTGGGTCATTTGTTTCAAGACCATAAAGAATATTTCCAGAAAACGTAATTATGAGATTTTTTTTCTCATTTTAAAAATGTAAAAAAAAAAAAAAAACCGGAAAAAGAGCTAAAAATCCACGTGATCTTGACAAAGAGAAACAGATGTCTGGATGATGCATTAGCTACCCTTGGAAACTGGATCCCCTCTGTATCCATTGTAACGGGTAAATGACTCACACCCCATCAAGTAGCAGGTGCTCGTTAGACTCACCAGCTCTCATAATAGAAAAGTCTGCACGACGCTTTACCAGTGTTAATTATGTCACCAAGCAGTTATTTTATTAATCATTCAAAGGACATTTTAAAAAATAATCATTTTTATCGGTTCATCTGTTAGCATGCCTTATTGATCAATAGTGATTCCACAGTATTTACAGTTGGAATGATACGAACTCTAGCAATATCATAATGAATATCCGATCAAAGTTTATGGAAAATTATAAAGAATCTTTCTCACTTAAAAAAAAATGGTAGTATGAAATAGAGAATTAATGTTTGTTTGTTTTTTTTCTTTATGAAGACATTTAAAATGAAAGCTATTCTTGAATTATATGTGAATTATTTAGAATCAGAAATCGGAAACAACCAGAAGTCTCTGACGAGACTGTAGCCCTACTTGTTGTATTTATCAAGGTAGATAAAAGTAGCACTTGGACTTGAAACTTTGCAACAGCAATAAATAGAATAATGATCCTTGGTTTAGTCTCTTTTGTGGCAAGATTTATTATTATATCAGACTAAAACTGTAGGAGGAGTAGCCTTTTAAAACAATTTTACAGAAATTTTGATTTAAGTAACCATGGCAACATCATTCAACAAAATCAAAAAACAATAACACCAATTATGTATCTCTGTAGTCTACTTGTATGCTACATTATACTGAAATCAGACAAAAAGTGTAGGAGGAGTAGCGTTTTGAAAGTATTTCAAGAAAATTTCTATTTTTAGTAACCATGGCAATAGTGTTCATCGAAATCCGAAACTGGTACAGAGAATTATGTATCTTAGTGTAGTTTACTTGTGTGCTAAGTAATACTAAAATCAGACCAAAACTGTAGGGGTAGCATTTTGAAGGTATTTCAAGGAAATTTCTATTTTTAGTAACCATGGCAACAATGTTCATCGAAATCAGAAAATCAATTTAAAGAATTATGTATCTTAGTGTAGTCTACTTGTTTGCCAAGTTATACTGAAATCAGACCAAAACTGTAAGAGGAGTAGCATTTTGAAAGTATTTCACAGAAATTTCTATTTTTAGTAACCATGGCAACACCATTCATTGAAATCAAAAACCGATATACAGAATTAAGTATCTTATTATAGTCTACTCGTGTGCCAAGTTATATTGAAATCAGATAAAAACTGTAGGAGAAGTAGCATTTTGAAAGTATTTTACTATTTTTAGTAACCATGGCAACACCGTTCATCGAAATCAAAAACCGATATACAGAATTATGCATCTTAGTATAGTCTACTTGTGTGCAAAGTTATATTGAAATCAGATCAAAACTGTAGGAGGAGTAGCATTTTGAATGTTTTTCACAGAAATTTCTATTTTTAGTAACCATGGCAACACCGTTCATCGAAATCAAAAACCGATACACAGAATTATGTATCTTAGTGTAGTCTACTTGTGTGCCAAGTTATATTGAAATCAGACCAAAACTGTAGGAGGATTAGCATTTTGAAAAATTGTTTACAGACAGACGGACGGACGACGGACGCCTTACTATCGCATAAGCTCTCTGGTCTCTGACCAGTAGAGCTAAAAATTAATTCAGTTGCAAAGATACTGTAACGTGTATGCCAGCACATGCTATCAATTCTTAAGATCTGAAAAATTGACATATATGTGGGGTTGTTTTAGGTTTTTAAAAAAGTTTAATAGGTGAAAGCTGACAAGCTGATTACTTATTCATGTCAATCTACCGTATGTTGGCATAAGTTCAGAAAAGTTAATGATTGGTAAACAAAATCAAAATAAAGTCTATTTTAATCAAAGCACTGGTTGAAAACTAATGAAAAACTGTTTTTGTACTCAGTAAATTACTAAATTATCACCTGCTTAATTCAGTTACGTCTAATCGAAGTGCAGGTATTTTTTGAGGATAATGTTTAGGGGATTTTTTTCGGAGAAAGTGCATTGCACCACAGCAGCGACAATCCCCCTCTCCACAAAATATTTCTAGAAGTATGAAGAACCATCCTATATCACTGTTTTTAGAAAGTTTAATTGAATTAACAGACAGTAACCTAAAGCTTAGGAAGAGCAAATCTAAGATAACTTTAACTTTTATTTTCAGAAATAAAGATAGCTGACACTGCTGTTTCAGTAAATCCACTGCTATAAAAGTCTCTTTCAGAGGGACAGTGCAGAACGGTATATTTATTAATTGCAACCATAGTAACCTGGCCAGCGACATTTTTATTAAAATATAATAATTATAATGTCATATTCAGGTGATTTCCATCAACTTGGAATAGATTGATCTTTAAAATATATATATATTCAGCGATTTACAAATTTGGGCTTCTAATGAATTGCCTTTTATTCTTGGATTAAAAATCAACTATTTCTCAAATTAGCAAGCAAATTCGAGTAGAGTTAGAAACAGTGTATATCGCCAGTATGAAATATAACTTGCTGAGTAGGAAAATTTTGAATATGCAATGCTCGCTGTTGACACCTCTTGAATGAAATCATGACACCAGTGAAATAGAATTGTAAAATAGTTAGGTACATGTACCACTTACTTTTAGCAGAGAAGTAAGCCACGCTGTTCATAGGCTATTATGTTCCCTGTATGAGTACATTTCTCTTTGGCACGGAATGAAAGAAATACACACGCATCCTCCTGTATTTTACAATCTGAAGCAAGAATTCTTACAAACGTTACTCACTTTACAGCTCCGCAACCAAAGCTGGCAAGGTCAAGGTCAGATTTGTTCGAAGATGAGTTGAAGTGGAGATATGACATGGGTAATATGTGGAGATTTTATTTATGAAATGCAGAAGTGTTATGTTCTCAATTTTTGCACTTTTCACTACAGCAATGAAAGCTTTCTTTATCTGGAATAAGTAACGTTCTTAATATACCGGTATACTACACGAACTCGTATGCTGGGAAAATTCATGTCTTATATGCTTAAGTGTCACAGTTAATTAAAAGTATCAAATAGAAAACCCCGAGCCCCCTCGTCTTTATTTCTTACATTTATTATTTTACCCTTATTCAGTTTTCTTTATTTTAGTAGTTATAGCCACTTCCTTACACAGAGGAAATATTGGATTCCGGTGGGAAAATGCTTTGATGGTCCATGTACAAATATAATGCATTTCTTGAACATATTGCCTGCAAAATTCTCCCTCATACAGGGACCTTGTTTAAGATAAAGGTACTATATAATTGCTGATTATAAGTTATCGTTCATTTATTGGAGGTAATCAGGACCAATAATTTGATTTTACATCAGGACTAATATGACTTAAATTGGTACGGTTAATTCAATTTGTTAGCTATTGATGTTTACATGGATACGGCTCTTGGATTACATAAAAGAATACAGAAGATTGAATCCAGTAATAATTGAAAAAAATGTTGAATCACCGCTTGCTTCAGGAACCAAATATTACTGGTGGATTTAGAGGTGAGCCCTCCCCCCCCCCCCCCCTAAAATTTCAAAAGATTAGGTTACATGTGCATTTAAAACTAAAGGGGAA